TTAAAATAAAATAAAAAAAATATTATTTTCTATTATATTAAAAAATTTTTTCTTTATATAATTTTACATAATTTATCTAACATTTTACGTTCTTGATTTTCTATAATAAAATCTGTAAAATATTTTTCTTCGTATTATAAGAAATCTTATTATACATTAAATATTTATATGACAACTCTATCACTTTAGAAGAAGAAAGTAAATGAATACTAATTTAAAAATAAATAAAAATTAAAAGATGCAAAAAGATCTTCGTACAGTAAAAAATGTTATAAATGTATTGCATACATATATAATATATGAACGCGCTTATTCTTGATGAATGCTTTACAAAAAAAAATCACAGTAAAAAATATTCAATGTGATAAAATATAATATACATAACTTTGAATAAATAACTCTAACTACATTGACCTTAAAAGAGAAGTAGTGAAACATCCTAAAGTAGCTATATGTAACATTGAAAGAAATGACATGAAGCGTATTATTTATTAATATATAAAAATATAATTATAAATTATATTATATATAAAATTAAAAATTGTAACAATGTGAAATATATTAAAAAAAATTTTTTTAAAGATTAAAAAAAAAGTAATAAATGTACACATTAGAAAATCGTTAAAATTTTGATAAATTAAATTATCTTATAATTGAAATTTCTTGGCAACTTTAATTCGTATATTTCAAAAGAAGAAAATTATTAATATAATAATATAATACTAAAAATTAATAATATCATTCGAAAATAGGATAAGTGTATAGAATAAATTATAACGAGTTTCAATAAATAAATATATATCCAATATATTAACTACATACATTATAAAATATTGTAAGAATTATTATTGGTGATATAATCAGACAGGAGATAATTTTTTTATAAAAAAATTAATCGAAAAGAAAGAATAAAATTTTTTCATTTAAGATTTAAATCAATTTGAAAAATTTTAAAAAAAATTTAAAAATTCCGATTAAAAATTATACAAATAACCTGTATAATCTGTATATTAAATATAAATAACTAATATAAAAATATTCATAAAAGATAATTCTACAAATTAAAATAAATAAAAAATATGAAATAAATCTTTCTCATTTAAAAATAATTTTCAAAAAAACTGAATTTAAATATTTATTGATTATATGATATTTTTTTATTATATATATTCAATCTCTTTCTTGTCAAAAATAAAGATTTAAATACAATCTATATAATTTGAATATGATACATATATTTCAAAAAGAAAATATAGAAATAAAATAATTCTAATCTCAAATAATTCTATTTTATATATTTTTTTTATTTATTAATATAATAAGACATAAAAAAAATAATACAATTAATAAAATTTGTTATCTAATAAAAGTGTATATATATTAAAATTTGTTTATATATTCTTAAAATCTTAATAAAATTTTCTATATTTATATTTTATATTTTTCTTATGTATCGTTTTTTATATTTATTTCATTTTTGCAAATATTCAAAAAATATTTTTATCACTTATCCATTGACATTTTCATATAATATATAATTTACCATGATTAATTAATAATATGTTTAGTAAAATTAGGCCGAACAATCCAAAAACGTTTACGCAGATTTTCTATGTTAATTTATGATATACCTCATCACAGAGTACGCAGTAATTTAACAATAACTGCATTGTAAAATTATTCATGCATTCTTATGCGTGCGTATACACGTGCAATATTCACGAGAGTGGAATGTTGTGCACAGACACTGTGCGTCAATGAAAGAAATCTCTCTTATTATACGCGAGATATAGAGAGTGACGACGATATCGAAACAGGATTTGCAAATTGAAACAGTGTTAATGACCTTACATTTGCATTAGAAAAGTTTGTAATCCTATAATCTATATTTGAAATAATAAAGCAATATTTGATGATATTAACGATAAACTGTTTATTTTCACCGATATATTTTCACATTATTTTCACATTATAATTATAAATTATAACACATTATAACAAAATGGATTATTGAAAAATACATTTTGCAAAATAAAAAAATTTATTAAATTTCTAAAATTACTTTTTTAATTTTTTTATTTAAAATAATTATTAATTAATTATTATTTATAATAAAATAATTTATTATTTACAATAAAGATATAAAATTAATATATATAATTCATTAGTATATATAAAACATATTCATTTATATAATTTATAATATTTAAATAATTATGTATATACAATTATAACATAATTTAATACAATTATAACATAAATTGTACAATATAAAAATAAACATTGTTAAAATAATAATAAAGAAAATATTTTCAATTATATTTTTTCTTTAATATTGTAATAATTATTTCTATAATAATAGAAAAGTTAACGAATATTTGATAAATATATAATTTATTATTTACTTAAATTTTAAAATATTGTAAAAACTATTTTATTGTATGAAAGTTATAAAACTTTTAATTGAAGGATCAATAATCATGTATATGCATTTATACGCTGAGTACAACTAAATAAGTCGAGAAAGTCAAGAACGTGGATTCTATAGATTAACCATAGAAGGAGAATATCTCACGGGTCAGTTAACCTACTTACGAGACTTAAAATTCGTCGTTATCATAACCAGTTTTAACTTATTTCGATAATATTTGGCCATCATTTAATGAAATACAAAAAAAGGTTCTTTATGATTAACGTCCAAATAGTGAGCTATCATTTACCTAAGACTTGCGTAATATAAAACTTAGAAACGACTACTAGCTGATGTGCCGAACTTATCTTCGATTTGTGAGCTATTGAAAGAGATTTCAAAATCCGGTCTCTGTGTCACTTTCGAACAGAGAAAGTCGTGCATTTTGTCGTTCGCAGAATGATTTATGGAAAACTTTCGTTAGAAACTGCTTGTATTTAGAAATTGAAAGATGAGCAAAAATTAAAAATTAAATTAGTAATTAATATTTTAATAGAACAATATTAATACTATAATATTATATATGTTATATTTATATTTAATATAGACTATTTTTCATGTAAAGAAATTATTATTAATATCATTATTAATTTTAAATAATAATTTATTTTTATACTATTTAATATAATTTATAATTTTCAATGATTGAATTTCGTATACAAAGTATTAAGAATAAATTCAAATTTATATAACGCGCATGCGTTTAATGATTATATGTCGCTCGTACAATCAGTATAAAGTTTAAACAATATTATAAACATAATCATATCACATTGTTATAAATGTATAAAATTATAATTCAAAATATAATTATTTATAATATTTTTATAAAAAATTATTAACTTCTTTAAAGTGAAAATATCTAATAGTTATAACATGACCAACGTCAGCAGCAGACGGCAGCTAAGTCGTCTGCTAGAAACAGCTGACAGCTCAGTTGCATGAAAACGTGGTTTTTAAATTTTATTTGTGACATTCTACATGTTTGTTATCGTTTTAAGAAATATATTCATATCATAAAAATAAAAATATATATACAAAATATATATATTTATTTTTTTAATATTTACTTACATTTCATGGTTAAGAAACACGATTTACTATCGCATTTTACTAGACATTATATAATTTATGAAACTTATAAGATTAACTAATATTTTTCTTTTGTGCATTTTAGTATTATTAACTGTTTTTTGTATCTATATTTAAAAATTAACATAATAAATTATAAAACACTAAGTATAACACTACAAATTTTTACATGCGAAAAGAATGGTAGGTTATGTTATTAATTATAGAAGAATAATTCATAATATTTGACTGAAAGTGAATGGAATAATAAGATTTTATGTTTGTATTGCAAAATATTAATATTGTGGAGATATAAAAATAATTTCTTTTGTATTGTGATTGTATTGATTATATATATTTTTCATAAATCATAACAATGCCAATAAATAAAATTAACATACCTGACAATATTGAACGAAATTATTTGTATAATGTTCGATTATAGTTCCTGACTTGACACATGTTGAAATTTTCTTTCGTAATTGGGCAAAATGTTTAAACTGGCACAGTTTTTCTGCACGAGCACAGAACCTACTCGATCCTATACACGCCATAGCGAAAACTGTAGTGAACCGAGTCATACGACTTGTAAAGACTTTCGAGTTCTAGCCCCACCGATAGTTCAAAATCACTTCCCCACTCACTTTTCCCTTTCCCGTCCCTACCTGTAAATACATCCGCTGTACACGGCATTAGTAAGAACAATACTATAAATCATAAATTAGTTTAACCACTAAATATTTTCAAAGACAATAGATTATCA